GACAAATTATGTCTTTAATTCTTCACAATTATTCAATTATTTTCTGAAATATATAAAAATTTTTTACGTGAATTCAATTATTTTCATAAATAATAAAATTCTTCTTAGAAATTAAATTATTATTTAAAGAATTGATAAATTCTTGAATTCTATTATTAATTCTTTACAATTATTCAATTACTCTTCCAAATAATAAAATTCTTCGCAAAAATTCAATTATTTTCCCAAATAATAAAATTCTTCTCAGAAATTGAATTATTTTTTAAAAAATTAATAATAAAATAATGAAATTCTTTCTGATAATTTTAATTGTTATAAAACTGTAATAACATCTAAATTTTTATTTTGTAAAATTATTTATTAGTTATTTTCATGAATAATAAAATTCTTTTTAGGAATTCATTTATTTTCTTACATAATAAACCTCATTGTAGAATTTCAATTATTTTTAATATACAATTTTAATAGAATTTCTCGAAAAATGTAATTATTCTTAAAAATTTTATTAAAATTCGTTGATAGAATTCAATTATTTGAAAATTTGTTGATAACAATTCTTTATGGGAATTGAAAATCAAGAAACATTCGATTATTCAGTAAATTATTTATTTTTGTATTTAAATAATTTAATTCTGGTAGAATTTTCTTACAATCTTTGATTTAAAAATCGATTTTAGTTCAAATTTTAGATTATAATTGAATATTAAAAGCATTAGAGCATACATTTTTAGGAATAATTCAATTTTGAAAAGGTTTCAGATTAAAATCTTTGAAAATTTGAATTTTTTATATTTTTAACTAACAATTCTGTGGAATTAATTTTTTTTGAGAAACTTAAATTGCGGATTTTTTAAAAATTATTTAAAGTTTTTATTTTCTAATATATATACATATTTAATTAAAGAATTTACAAATAATTGAAATTTTGTAAAATCTAATTGTAAACAAATGAATTTGAAATTTTATTTAAAAATAATTGAATTTTGAAATTAATTTTTTTGAAAAAGTTTAATTGAATATTTTGAAAATGTTTGGAAGTTTTTATTTTCTAATATTTATTTAATTGAAGAATTGACGAATAATTGAAATTTCGTAAAATTCAATATTGTAAAGAAATGGATTTGAAAATTGTCAAAGAACTTTTTCGAAAATTATTAAAAATACATAATTAGATTTAAAGAAGAATTTTAGTTAAAAATTCTTGTAAGTAATAATAATTGAATTGATAATGATTGATAAAATGAGTGATCGGTTTCTTCATGTTTTATAGTTTGGAAAAAATTGAATTTATTGTTTGAAGTAAAATGTTCTCTTATTTGACTCGGACTGGTTATATTTTTGTCAGTTGGTCCGTAATTTTTAATTTTTAATCCGTAAAGTCCGCATTTGTGTTGGAAAATCGACAAAGTCAGTAGACTCTTAAAAGAAATATTCAATCCATTTTAATTAATATTTCACCTGAACCATTATATGTTCAAATCAACTTTAAATTATAAATATGAAATAGCTCGCTCTAAACTTGATCTCATTAAAAATTTGTACGATTTAATTAATGAAATAAGCTTTAACTGAAAAATGAGTTATTTCGTCTGACCAAATAATCACTTTAGCAGATGAATCATTCATTATTGCTTACTAATTCAAAGCCCCTGAAATGATAGATTTTCACTTCAGAGAATTAACTGCTGTTTCCTCTAAAGGGCAGATAAATCAGTCATGTAACGCGCAAATAAAATAGAAATAAAGCCCTTATTCTCAAAATGCATAACGATCCAGAAAAAGAATATTATTCAATATTGAATTTTTGTAGATAAATTACAACTGCTGAATAAAACAATTTTGCATTGTAATTTTAAAAAATGGATTAAAAAATAATCGTTTGTCTAATAATAAAATTGAATTACATATGTAAATATTTTTAAATTTTCCGCATGTAAAGAAGATGTAAGGTTATTGATTTGATTCAACAAGTCTTATATCTAGCTATGATATACGTTTCTCAATTTTTTTCTCCAAAATAATCATAATTATTTGTGAATAAATATTTTATTTGTCTAATGAAAATTAAATTCTATTGCTTTGAAATAAATGTTGAAATTAAAGAAGAAAGAATAAAATTTTAAAAAAATTTTTTATATAGGTACAGATATAAAACTTTGTGGCTGAAACTAATTTAAAACTATAGAAGAAAATTTTTCTTTTTTATAAAATAAAAAGAAGTACCTTTTTTTTATAAGTTTTAAAATTTGTTATTAAATTTCACATTTTCTTCAGACTATAAATATAATAAATTTAAAAAAAAGTTTTTTTACCCAACAACAACATGAAAAATTTTTGTTTTTCTATTTCTTTTCGGGGGAAATTAAACATTAAACGTATGTTATACGCTCGCTCGTAATATATATAAAACACCATAGTGCCGAGTAGTTGATGATGTTGGCATTTATAGCTCAATAAAATGTAAGATGTAAACTGTATTTTACTTTTTTCTTACAAAACACTTTTCGCATTTCAGTTTAAATAACTCAAAACATAAATTTTCTTCATTAATGGTCCATTTTTGTTGTTTATATCAATTCACTTCCAGATCATAAAATTTAATTCCATTTCTGTTTCAACTTTTCAAATTAAATTAACTGCATCTTTACAATATGCGAAATGCGAATATACATTGTAAATGTGCAACAACTCTTCGTCGATAAAAGAAAACATTTCAAAAAAGAAGAAGTCTTCCTTAAATTTTTAATAGTTCCCTTCAATAATGTAAATCTGTTAATCTTAATATAAATATAAATTCTTATTTTAATTCTTATTATACAATTATTTTCCCAAATAATAAAATTTTTCACGAGAATTTAATTATTATTAAAAAGAATTGAATAAAATTCTTCTTAGAAATTCAATTATTATTTAAAGAATTGATAAATTCTTTAATTTTTTCTTTAATTCTTCACAATTATTCAATTGTTTCTCAAATAATAAATTTTTTCACGAGAATTCAATTATTTTAAAAGAATTAAATAAAATTCTTCGCAAAATTCAATTATTTTTTTAAAAATTGAAAAATTTTTTCTTTAATTTTTCACAATTATTCAATTATTTTCCCAATAAATAAAATTCTTCTTAGAAATTCAATTATTTTTTAAAGAATTGATGAATTCTTGAATTCTTTCTTTAATTATTTACCCAAATAATAAAATTATTAAGGAGAATTCAATTATTTAAAAAGAATTAAATAAAATTCTTCGCAAGAATTTAATTATTTTCGCCTGAAGAATAAAATTCTTTTCAAAAATTTAATTATTTTAAAAAAAAAATTAATAAATTCTTTCTTTAATTCTTTACAATTATTAAATTATTTTCCCATTTAATAAAACTTTTCACGAGAATTCAATTATTTTAAAAAAAATTAAATAAATTTCTTCGTAAAAATTCAATTATTTTCATAAATAATAAAATTCTTCTCACAAATTGAATTATTTTTTAACAAATCAAATAAAATTCTTCACAATAATTCAATTATTTTCGCATGAAGAATATCATTCTTATATAAAATTCAATTATTTTTTAAAAAATTGATAAATTCTTGAATTCTTTCTTTAATTCGGCCAACTATTCAATTATTTTCCCAAATAATAACATTTTTCACGAGAAATCTGTTAATTTAGATTCACATTGTTGAGGGGAAGTATTAAAAGTTTGTTGTGGATATTTAACGAACGTACCTACTGAATTTTGAAAAATAACAGATGATTTAGTAAATCGAAGGATTTTTAAAATTTGTTTTTAAATCTGTTGAAAACATTAGCAGATTTCAAGACAGATTTAGTTTCTAATAGGTTTACATCGTTTACATAAAGTAAATCTGTTAAAATTTGTGAAATTCATCTGGTTTATGAACGTTTAGTGGATGAATTAACGGATCAAAATTGTGGAGGCGTTACAAACATTATTAGCAACCTCACACATGTGTTGTTGTTGTTGTTATTATTAGTATTCACTTGATATAATTTCGAAATTAGTGGTCGTGAGATATGACATTGTGTCTTTAAAATTAATCCTCATTATGAAACAATAAAAGGACTCGCGTCTTTAATTTTATATGTTTAATTTTAATGTTATTTTTATTTTCACACTATAAAAAGAAGGCATCTTATTTTAAGATACCTAGTAGTAGTCACTTTTAAGTTGTTTCGAACAAGTTATCAAAAACACTTTAAAATCTTTAAGATGCATCTTAAAATCTGTAAGATGTACCATCTTAAAATCTTTGGGATGTAACATCTTAAAATCTTTTAGATGTAACATCTTAAAGATGACAACAATGTATCTTAAGATACTTCTGTTTTCAGTACATACAAAGATATTAGAAGTTATTTTTGTTGGATAGAGAAGTTTTGAATTCGCTTTATACCCCGAACTAGTTAAATTTAGGAAAGATCGTTGTTTTTTTTTGTTGAGCAGTTTCCACTAATTAATTATTTGAGCTATAAAATTTTTCATTAAATGGAAAAGTTTCTTGTAGTATAGGAAAATAATGAAACGAATTCATGTGGTTTTTAATAAAAACCAGCTCCAAAGTTTCAAATATCTGGATAATCCGATAAGGGATTCAAGAGAATAGAATAAAAATGTTCCACATTAGAAGTGACAAATTAAGGGATATGAAAACTTTGGAGGAACATAGAGTTTGGGGTCAGGATGTGAAATAAACTCTAAATGAGAAACGCTAAAACGAATAAAATTGAAATGTCGGAATAGTTTCCCTTAAATTCTGAAAACGAGCCGAGATGATGTTTGAGGAAACTGAAAATTTGATTTTATAGGTAAATTACGATCGCTGATAAAAAAAGGAGCATCAATCGGCAAGTGGGTATTTTTCATATCCACACTCTTATCTCGAGTTCTCGATAACGTGTCAGTCTTTTCATTCCACTCACTTTTCCCAGTATTCTCGACCCTCTCCCTCATCGGGTCTAGGTAATAATAATAATACTCACTCAACGAGTCAGGGCAGTGGAGCTTCATGAAAAGGCGAATCAGGCCATCGTGCCTCAAGCTTCCGCGCACTATCGAACTCTGGAGTTGATCTTGCACTCCAAAATTTACGCTGTCTTCCCTATCATCATGTCTCCTATTTCTAAAACACTATTTTTATTTTTCAAATGACAAATGACAACAGAAATCAAGAATCAGAAATTTAGAATCAAACTAATGTTTCATATTCTGCAAGAAGAAAGCATAAAACCTTCCCTCTTGGAAAGAAAAAAAGAAAAAAGAAACTACAAGGGGTCGACGAGAACGATCCTGAGGAAAGCACAAAACACAGCCACAGGGAGAAGCACACCACACCCCGAGAGCAGAGAGAATACACAACACGGGAAAATAGCGACGCGCGTCACTAACGACAATAATGTAATGTTTACAAAAAAGTAGCGCCTTCGCGGCGTCACATCACCGAGCGAATGTCATCAGGTGAGGGCGCCTGATGAACCAACTAGACTAGGAAAATTTCGGCGGCGAGCTTAGCGGCGGAGCTTGTCCCCGCAGACATGTCGTCGTCAGTCGCAAAACCCCGAGAGTCCAGTAGCGCCACTCCGGCGAGCTTCGGCACTGTTCGGCGTCCTTCGGAATTCCTCTTTCGCTGTGTCCATGTGTGTGTGTGGAAAAGCTCAACACCAACGAATAAACGGAGGGTAACGCGCGGGAGCTTTCCCTCATTCTAGGGGGAGAACTGCTGCCTCACACACACAACAAGTGTAAGTGTTTCCTTCTCAGTATTTGTTAACTGTACGAGCGTCAGGCATGCCTTGAAATGATGGTGGTCGAATACTACCACCTATATATTGAGGAAAAGGAATAAAGCGAAGGTCTGGACGACGCTAAGAACCGCACATTCTCTACTATATCAAGAAATTTAATTCTCAGCTCTTTTTCGACATTTGGAAGCGACTTCAAACATTATTTTTTGCTTCCTGCAAATATTCTTTGTTACTCAGACTAAAAGGTACTCTAAATCTGAAATAGCGATAATACCACTGATTCCAATTAGCGTATCTGTGAATTAGTGAAATTTCACTAAATCAAAAAATTTCACACACGGAGAAAAATATAAAGCAATTTTTACTACTTTTCTAGTAAAACATTTCTGGTAACTTTTACTACTTTGGAGTAAATTTTGCTATGTTCCAAGTAAATTTTATTACGTTCAAAGAACATATTTGTAAAAACCTAGTAAAATGTGAAATTTCGCTAATTCATTTTTAGAGAGATACTTTGATTTCTAAAATATAGAGAAATATTAATAATCATACAAAGATGTTTTCGAGTAAGTTTTTAGAACATCTTCTTAGATCCTAATTTGGCTCCTAAGAAGGACTGCAGGAAATAAATAAATACAATTTTGTTTTCAATTTACCCGGAAATTTTATACGAATTCTCAAAATTCACGACTATTTTCAGCACTAAAACATAAAATTGTTCCGAGGACAAGACTCGTAAAAAGAAACCCGAAAGTATTGCGTTCAAAAATAAAAAAAACCGTGCCACACTTTTTCTCTTTTCAAATTCTCTGACTTTTCCAGGTTTAAAAAACGGAAGTTTTCCAGGATTTTAAAATTACATTTCTATTTTATTAAAATTAAATAACTCCCTAGACAAAGCAATGAATTTTTCCCTGATTCTAAAGTATATTCTGATTCACTCGCTAAAATTCTTCTTTAAGCCAATTAATTTTCAAGGACAAAATTATTGGTACAAATAAGGAATCATTTCCAATTGTACCCCATTTCTGAATATAGTTTCCAAAGCAGAAAAACTCTGAGTCTAATTTGAGATAGTTTTCTCGTTAAAAAATCTCCTAAGGATAATCTTTTTTTTTTCGTGTCCTATTGGGGAGGCGAATGAATTATTTGAAAATGTTTCACGCAACCGACTTTTGTTTCTAATGGAATGGAAAATCAATACCTAGAGAATGGATATTGCCAATGATAATCTAAGCTATGTTTATGAAAATAATTAAGGGTTTTCGGCCCGACAAGACTTAACTTTTATTACCTCCATTGCGATCTGTCCAAGTTTCCACGAAGAAGGCCTTAATACCCCATTTCGTCGTTATAGCCTAATCTTATAGGTCGGAACGCCAACTAGAAGATAGTGGGAAGGTAGGACCTTAAAACTGCGATTGGGCATGCGAAAATCCAAAGTATATTACTTTTCTTATCATCCTAAACCGACGAGGTTTAAGCTGCGCACTATTACTACTACTATTCACTTACTACCGAAACTGTATAGTAACTGTATAGTAACTGTATAGTAATTGTACAGTTTGAACGCTTCATTAGGATATGAAAATTATATTTAGAATTTAGTTATCATCTCGTTTATCAATCAACTTCGGATTAATGCATCTTAAAATCATCAAGAAGTTAAAGCAAATATTTTGATAGGAAACATCTTGGTGAGTATAAGTAGTAGAACCGATAAAACTAAGCGAGTAGTTTTGTGTATTTTTCTTAGACCAAGCATTCAGATGAAGAACTCTCACTAATCTCAATTTCAATACAATCAAAACTTATTGTTAGTCTATAGTAAATCAATGGGAGTGAGAAAATATTTTCATAGATTAAAACACTTAGTGTCTTGGTATGTCATTTTCCCGATATTCCTCATATTGCAGAGGAATTGGGGAAGAAATTCCATCTTGCATTATCCTTGAGAAATATTCAGTCCTACGTTTTTTCTGAAAAAAAGGGGAAAGACGAAGAGGGTCAAAATGAGTCACTGATGCGGTAAACGGGAGCTTTTTCCACCTTCGAAGACTCTTATGTAGAAGTGAAAATAAAAATTTCTCTAAAAACAGCCGTATTTTTCATCATGGTAAAATAAAAAAAAAAAAAATAGGTCATGAAATAATTTTTAATTTCTTTCTAATTCAGAAAGACTCTTTGCGGTTAATTGGCGAGTTAAATTCACTAGGGAATAGAAGTAAAATATTAAAATTGTCAAGTATTATTAAAATAAAGAATAAACTATTTTGTCGAGAGGAAACTTATTATTTTTTTCGTTGAGAATATGTTTTCTTGAAAATTGGGAGATTTTTTCGTGCAACAGTGATGAAAATTCTCTCAACAGCTTTTGATTACAGTTTCACTATCATCTAGTTTCAGGCTCCTTCAGAGCTTTTCCTTGTTTACGCGTTGTCAGCAAAATGAAAAAACGGTAATCTCTAATTTTTTTCTCGTTACATGACAAAGAGAGTATAAACAAAAACTGTTTTAATAATTTTCGACTGTAAAATTCCCAACTATTTTAACAATTTTAAACTTCTTTTCTATTTTCTAGACTTAAAAGACGTCTGAACTGTCAGAATTTTCAAACTTTAATCTCTAATGTGAATTAATATTGAAACTATCAAAAATAAGTGAAAAAGTCAGGTAACGCAGGGCTCGAACCAGTGAAAGTATTTAAAAATAGTAAATACGGACTTTACGGACCAACTGACAAAATTATAACGAGTCAAATAAAGAAACATTTTACTTAAAACTATAAATTCAATTTTTCAAAACTATAAAACATGAAGATATCAATAACTCATCGATTTCTTCATGTTTTATAATAATTAAAGATCACCGAGTGATAAAATCATTTACAATTCAATTATTATTACTTACAAGAATTTTTAACTAAAATTCTTTTTTACAACGATTATTTTTAATAATTTTCGAAAAAGTTCTTTGACAATTTTCAAATCCATTTGTTTACAATATTCGATTTCACGAAATTTCAATTATTCGTAAATTCTTCAATTAAATAAATATTTGAAAATAAAAACTAAAAATAATATTCAAAAAATTCAATTAAACTTTTCCAAAAAAATTAATTCCAAATTTCAATTATTTTTCAAAATTCACGCTATATTGCTTTTGATATTCAATTATATTATTATCTAAAAAATATTAACTTTTTTTTAAATTTTAACTGAAATTCACTTTTATGAAATGAAAATCAATTTTATTAGAAAATTCTACTAGAATTCAATTATTTAAATACAAATAAAATGCAAATAAATAATTTATTAAATAATTGAACGTTTCTTAAAATTCAATTCCCATAAAGAATCGTTATCAACAAATTTTCAAATAATTAAATTCTATCAATGAATTTTAATAAAATTTTTAAGAATAATTACATTTTTCGAGAAATTAGATTAAAATTTTATTAAAAATAATTAAACTTCTGCAATGAGTTTTATTTATAAATTTTTTTGTTAATTCGATTAAAATTGTATTAAAAATAATTGAATTCCTAAAAAAAGAATTCTATTATTTACGAAATAATTGAATTCATAAAAAGAATATTATTATTTACGAAAATAATTGAATTTTGCAATGAATTTTATTAAATTTTATTTTTTATGAAAATAATTGAATGATTGCGAAGACATTTATAAAAAAATTTGTAAATAATTGAATATTCCGGTGAAATTTTTATTATTTTATGAAAATAATTAAAGGTTTGCGTAGAATTTTATTAAATTTTTTTTTTGAAATAATTGAATTATTTTGGACAATTTTTTTAAAGTAGTAAATATTGAAAATCATTGAATTGAGGAATTTTTTTTAAAAATAATTGAAATTTTGCCAAGAATTTTATTACTTTTTGAAAATAATTGAATTTCAGATAAGAATTTAATTATTTCTAAAGAGAATTGAAATTTTTATGAGAATTTTTTCAAATTTTGGAACATAATTAAATTTCTGCGAAGAATTTGATTACTTTTGAAAATAATTGAATTTCGGCAATCATTTCTAACTTTTTCAAAATTTTCAAAATTATTCCGTACAATTTACGAACTTTTTATTCTTTTTGAATGAAATTACGGACTTTACGGGATTTACGGACCTAGTTTGAGCCCTGCGGTAATGGTTTGTTTTGAAACAACAGCTGCCAAACTGAAGATCAGCTACAGCACTTATAATTCTGTGCACTTCTCGACCAAGGCAGACTCTTCTTGGTAACAACTGTGAACTTTATTCTCCGCCTGTTGGGTTCGATCGTTTGAAGACATTCTGTAATCGAAGTCGCGCACCTCAAGCATAACTTATTTTCGATTCATCGACTGCACCTTTTCCATATGATTCCACATCGCTTTGTTGACTTTGTTGACATCCGCTTTGAAGCAGAGTCCAAAGGTCTCTTCACCATCATCCCATTGTCAAGAGAATAATTGTATTCTGATAAAATAAAAAGAAATAGTAAAATTATGTCGACTTACTGAAATTAGATTATAAATTTCGATGCACAAAGTAATGAAAGAAGAAAAATATAAATCAATAAATCATCAACGGTTTATATAAATAATCGTTTGACGCTTTCAATAACTTATCTACTAGAGTATTAGATGTTGCGGAAATGATGATAGGGGAGTCTACGCCAATGTGAAAAAGAAATAAGGAGAGTGGAAAAAGAAAAAGGGAATTGTAAGAGCTATACAACGAGAGATGGATGATGTTTGTTGATGGACCTAGAGAATTACTTTTTTTTAAAGCACCCTTTTTCAACTCGTTCCGCTTAATGACCATATATAGAGTGTATAAGAACCGCACGACCCTGCGGTGTGTCTGCTGTACTTCAACTATTCCTACCCCTTTAAGA